CTCAAGGATAATGATGATAACGATGATGATAGAAATTACTGTAATATTATTGATAATATTTTAGTTCCAATGCGAAGATGATTTTTGGAAAAGAGCCCCCTTTCCTCTCCAAATTAGTTGCAACACAAGATATACCAAAGGTGAGAAACTTTATATTAAGATTAAATATTTTTATTATTACAAACCATCTTGAAAACCCAGCTAAGAACATTCCCGTGGTTCTACTGAGTTCATGAGTCAAAATTTGAGGCAAATCGGTCAAGGGATTTAAGATTTATGATTGGACATACAAAGAAACAGACGAACAAACAGAGATTACTACTTAATTAGCACGTTAAGCTATTCTTTCATTTTAGTTTGAAATCTTGAAGTTTTCAATCCCACCTCTAAATAAAGAAAGTTGAGAAATCTGTGTAAACTACCAGTTTACTTTTCTCCCTTTAAATAAGAAATAGAGGAGTTCTGGAATTGCAAAGTTCTACCAGTAAAATTTATCTTTATATTTTTCTCTACACTGCATGCACTGCGTTCTTAATTTCGGCATGTTCGTAATAATATAACAGTAAACTAACCAGGAGGAGAAGATCAAATTTATACCCCATTATTGGTATAATATTGTGACCTTGTAGCTTCCCCAGTTTTATTTTATGCCATGGTATGAAATATATCATAAATATAAGACATTTAAAACATTTTAGTTCTTTTTAACAGCTCTTTAAGAAAGAGAAGTTATGATTGAAAACATGTAAGATTTCAATCTTACGTGCAAAATTTACTTTAATTTGACGTGAAGTAATTGTTCAGGGCGTTGAGATCACAACCAGTTATCTGGACCCTCTACTCTGTACACTAAAGAGAAAACAATTACTTAGCGTGGGTTGGTAAGCAACACTTGCACACACTGGACTCAGCTCAAACTGCTGGCTAACGGATCATTGTTTGTAAATCCTTGATCCTTAATCAACAAAGCTTGATTTTCATGATCCATAATCAAAACGATTTCTCTTCTATGATCCTTCATCAAGAAAGCTGGCTGCTCCCTTATCCCTCACCAAAGCTTTCTCTTCCCTGATACTTAATCTGAAAATCTTTCTTTTCCCTGATTCTTAATCAGGAAATCTTGCTCTTCCGTGATCCTTTATCAGGAAATCTTGCTCTTTCCTGATCCATATAAAGAATGCTGATTCATCCCTGATCTCTAATCAAGAAATCTTGTCATTTCCTAACCCCTAAATAAGATAGCTTACCCTCCTAATCCCTAATCAAGAATCCAGATTGTTTCTTACCTACAGGGTTACCCACAAAGGATGAGACTTTAGAGACAACTGTTGTGAGTTTATACAATATGATTCTTTGTATTCATGACTCCCTGCAACTGTAAACTCCTTTCTTTCTTTGTCGAATAATTAAAAAAGCCATTAAAATACTATATTTAAGACAGAAGATTTAATTTAAACTTGTGATCTTCATATTTTAAGAGTTTCTGGTGACCTTTTCAGTCTCATCTTTTATGGGTAACCCTGTATATGTGGTGTTTTTTATGATTTCCCGATGTTCCTTCCAGATTTCTTACAGTGTGGTGTTTTACTGATTCAAAACGGGACAACAAGTTATTTGTTGTAAATCGCGACAGAAAATTAGAATTTTAATAGTGCATGCAGCCAGGACTCCAGGAGTACCTTTAACCAGTATTTGTTGTATTTATTATTATATATAAATATATCTTTATGTAATTTATGTTATGCTTAATTTTACAGTTTTTCTTTATTGTCCGTTGTTTTTTTAAGGGATAATTATCGATAACACTATTATGAGACAGTCGTCTTTGAATGATCTACGACAATTTTTCTAGTGTCATTTTTCCAAGTTTCATGTAAATTTAGCTTTTGCTATTTTTTCTATACGTAATTTTTTGCCATGTGACATCCTTAATCTAGCCTCAGCGCTCGAGGCCCCTCCTAAGTAGCCAGCGGCAACTCAGAATGCCTGAATAATTTGATGGGGATATGTTTCATATACGTAAAAAGTCGTATTTAACAAATTTCGTTTTCCAGATGTATAATGTATATAGCAAAAATGACGCTAGAGAAAGTTTCATTTTTAAGACTTATTATGCATTTTCGCATGATTGTAAATTGTAAAACCTAAATGTTTGTGAATGATAATCTTCAGATCTACAGGGCTGGTAATATTAATATCATATTGTTCATTGCTATGCTTTCAAAACTAATGGTTTACATTGAATGTCGTCTTCTGTTTAAAAAGAATTATTTATCCTTTATTAATTTTTTTAAAGAAAATTTACAGGGTTATCCACAAAGAAAGAGACTTCAGAAACCAATGTACGGACTTTGTCTAATCTGTTTTCTTGAATTTAGGGTTTTTTATGTGCTTAATTATTTGATTAACAATCAAAAAATTAGACTGAATGCAGAAACCAATAATCAAGCTTTAAATCGTCATATTTTTAGAGTTTTGGGTCGTCTTTACTGCCTAATTCTTTATGAAGATCGACAAAATATAAAGCACAATTAAGCTCAAGAGATGGGTAATTAGGTGGATGGGACAAGTTAATTAAATCTTTGTTTAGATAATAAAACCTCCAGTTTACCAAAGAGTATCCAAACACATTTGATATTATCCCATCTTGATCTATATATATATATATAGTGAAAACGAGAGTATTTCAGAGGTGGCAAAGTTGTATACCTGCAATTCTGCATAAAATAAAGCCATGCAAATGGTTGATACGAAAAACGCGACGAAAAAGCATCATTTCTATTTGATATATACATCGAAAAAGAAGGAAAACATAAGGGCTATACTAAAACTAGAAACTATATACTACCACTGTTTAATGTCAATATTAATTTTCGGTCAATTTTCCACAACCAAGGTTTCATTCGATATATTTCAGGTTTACTTTTTTCTTCCTAGGCCTCACAGGCTCACACTTTTTCTTTTATACTCACTTATTTCAGTATAAGTCAAAAAATCAATTTCCTGGATCGATTTTTTAAAATTTTTGATTTTCACATTTTATTTTATTTTGTACAGAAATTATGAGAAAAGGGCAGATTTTCGTAATTTAAAAAAAAGTAAGCTGTCGGTTTGAGGTTTCTTTATAGGCCTAAATTTTGGATCAATGATAAATATTTTCTGGGCTAGAGCAATCTGAAAATAAAATCAGCATTAAAAAAATAAAATAAATACATCGTTTTTCCGTACAAACTTAGTCCAGTCGATAACAAATTTCTAAACTATTTCTTTTTTTGAAAATCAACCGGTATAATCCACAGCTCACTTGTTCATCAGAAACATTTACTTGTTCTAACCACTCTGGACAAAAGTGCTTCAACTTGTTTAGATTTTTAGCATGGATTAGTATCAACACAGATAAAACACTAGATGTCGTCTTTTCAAGATTTAGAAGTTTTTGTTCACAAAAAACCTAAGGCAGAAGCCCAAAGGAGTTACGCGCATTTGCGTAGAATTACAAGACAGAGAGAAAGCCTGTTCTACACCGCATGCGCGTAACTCCTTTGGGCTTTTGCCTCAGGGTTGTTGTGAACGAAAACCCCCTAAATCTTGAAAAAATGATTTTGATTTTTAGGGTTTTAGGAAATCCCATACAAGGCGATCGCTACTTAACAGTATATTTTTGTGAATTTACAATTACAATTTACAGGTTTGATTTAGGTGTTTTGAATGCCGTTGTAAACGCTGTGAAGATCCAACCGAACTAGGTACAAATCTCAATACCCTGCTCTGTCAACAATGTCGTCTTCAAGATGAAACCGGCTTTCTACTTCCAGAAGTAGTTCACAAACAAAATGGCGACTGGATCTGTAACAAGATGCACTACAGATATACCACAGGTTAGAGAACAGTTTTCTACAGATATACCACAGGTTAGAGATCAGTGTTCTACAGATATACCACAGGTTAGAGAACAGTGTTCTACAGATATACCACAGGTTAGAGAACAGTGTTCTACAGATATAACACAGGTTAGAGAACAGTGTTTTACAGATATACCACAGGTTTTCAGAACAGTTTTCTACAGATATACCACAGGTTAGAGAACAGTTTTCTACAGATATACCACAGACTGGAGAACAGTGTTCTATAGATATACCACAGGTTAGAGAACAGTAATCTACAGATATACCACAGGTTAGAGAACAGTGTTCTACAGATATTTCACAGGTTAGAGAACAGTGTTCTACAGATATACCGCAGGTTAGAAAACAGTGTTCTACAGATATACCACAGGTGAGAGAACAGTGTTCTCTACAGATATACCACAGGTTAGAGAACAGTGTTCTACAGATATACCACAGGTTAGAGAACAGTTTTCTACAGATATTTCACAGGTTAGAGAACAATGTTCTACAGATATAACACAGGTTAGAGAGCAGTTTTTTACAGATATACCACAGGTTAGAGAACATTGTTCTACCGATATACCACAGATTAGAGAGTTGATTTTTTCAGATATACCACAGGTTAGAGAACAGTATTCTACAGATATACCACAGGTTAGAGAACAGTGTTCTACAGATATTTCACAGGTTAGAGAACAGAGTTCTACAGATATACCACAGGTTAGAGAACAGAGTTCTACAGATATACCACAGGTTAGATAACAGCGTTCTACAGATAAACTACAGGTTAGATAAACATCTATATATCTACATGTCTACATGTCTTTATATCTATATATCGATATATCTATAAATCTATTGTATAGGAAGATATACAGCATGCTGTTGGATTACTTGAAATAAACTGTTTTGAACTACGCTCCTACGGGGATGCAGGATACAGAGGAATATTTGCAATTGGATCTTTAGCCTCACATTCATGCAATATTTAGAGTACCACTGTATTCTACCCCTACTATACTATCCAATATATTTAGAATACCACTGTATTCTACCCTTCTATACTATCACCCCCTGATCACTCTGTATTTAAAGTAGAAAAAACGACATAAAATTTATTTTATTGATTTATCGATTTATTGTATATTGTATGTTGTAGGGATATAAGAGCTGGAGAGATAATTTGCTGTGAGGAGCCATTAATAGTTGGTCCGAACCAGGTTAATAATTCGTGTATGGTTCATCCAAAATCAGAACATCTTTGTCAGTCGTATATTTCAAAACAATAACGAAGACAATTCTATCTCAATTTTAATTTTTGGCAAACTTTCCTACAGCAGTTGCACATAAATATGTAAACTAAGAGAAACTGTAAATATTTTTTCTTCTGCCATTTATTGTATTGAAATTAAATAAAAATTAAAAATTACGACAGATAAACTTTATTTTTTTATGATTAGTACATTTAACGTATTAATGCCGTAAAACAACAACATTTAAAAAAAACGAAGATTATTTTCACTTTGTTTTTGTCTAGTATTTTTTGGGAACAATTTGGGCTCTGTGCAGAATATAATTATATTATAAATAGAAATGAAAATTCTGATACATACTTTTTCATTTTTTTTTCTTGTAATTTCAGGAGACAAATCCAATATGCTTGGGATGCTTAGCAGAAATTGATACAAGGTAAAAATTTCTCCTCTGGTTTAAAACTAAAATGAAGGAAATTTTCTTTGTCTTTTACCTTAGAAACTTAGATTATTTACAATACAATTGTGGTTTCTCTATGCAAGGGAGTCGCGTATTTCTGCTACAAAGACAATGAAGGAAGGAAGCAGAACTAAACACTGTTTAATCTAGAAGAAATATGGTATCTTACACATTGTTGATAAAAAATCTACAGGGTACCATTGTCAATCGGAAATGCCAGTCAAGTGTAATTTTAAGTGAACCTGCATGCAACCATGGCAATGCTAGATTTACAACATTACCCTTGGAACATTTATTGAATCAATAATTTGGAAGATATTTTCTAGGTTTAAAAGTGTTTAATGATGATAATTACGCAAGCTATATTGTAGAGAATCGACATTTGAAAATAATAAGTGTTCAAAATTATTAACATTGATTTATAATTCATACTTAATCAGACAAACCTTGTAAGGGCATCGTTGTAAATCTGGCATTATCATCTTTGCCTTGAGGGTCACTTGAAATAACGCTTTTAGTCCCTCGCAGGGACTAAATAGATAAAATTCTGGATGTTCAGTTATGTTTGCTCTGGGTGTGGGTATCCTATGTGTGATGAAGAATGCTCTAGTTCTGCTTACCATACACAGGAATTTAAAACTTTAAAAGAGGACTTTTTTCTTAGCCCCACCCC